ATATAAGCCTCAAAGTTATATGTTAAAACAAGCTGATGTTCATTTGAAGTATTGGATAAAAATGCAGGTTAATTCACTGGCTGACTTCAGTTTTCATAAGTTGTAGGTGTAGTTTCATCTACATCGTGGCTTCTGGGTATCACCTTTTTAGCATTTCTTTGTCTCTTATCTCAGCTTTAGTCAGGAAAAGCAGGAAGAAAAACAGATCCAACATCCTTAGCACAATTCCTGTTCGAGTTTGCAAAAGAATTCTTGAAATCTTTGTACATAAAGGAGAGTTCAGTTCCTTTGATGTTGCATCAGGAAAGTCCTGACCAGTGGAGATGCTTGCTCAGTTGAATTTCTGGCTTCTATATGGTCTTTGGTTTCATCATACTGAATGTTTTTTTGTGGTCACTTGCTCTCCTCTTGATTTCCTTTCTGACATCTCTAGTTATGCTCAAGACCTACGCCTCATGCATTTTACTCAACTTGAGGTATGATCTCCATTTTGCAGACTGTACTCTGAGTTTCTAACAGATCTAACTGTATTGTGTAGGTCTTCTCAGTGTTGTCTTTTATACCCACATCAATATTTATTCTTACATTTAGAGTAATTTTTTTAAAAAACCAAATGTGTATTTAGGGTTGCTGTCCTACTGTGATAACATAGACAGCTCTACTTTCTTCCTATACCCATAATACTGAATTGTATTCACATAATTACCCAGAACAATTCCCCAACAGCAGTGCCTTTTAATAAAGCCTGTGTTTAAATTTTGACATTTTTTCATTTGGGTGTTTCTGAATATCATCCTGTCCAGCATGCTTTATTATTGGCGCTGTAGGTACTTACTGCGTAGTGGTGTATCTTGGCCATTGTTTTTTTTACGTTTTTTTTTTTTCCTGACAATGTCCCTTGATGTTTGTACATTATTAAGGTCAGTACAGACGTTATTATGAAACAGATGCACGTCCATTAAAACCTTGTTAGGAGATGTTATCATATTTCTTTGCACATGTAATTAATTCAGGCTTAACTTACTGCTTCAATGGAAGGTGAAATCACTGCTCAAGGATGCAATGGTAAAGGACCCTGCTTTTGAATTTTAAACTGATATTCTTGTGGCATTGGATTACAGCTTGTGAGCTGGATCACTGTCTGTCTTGCCTGGTGAAAGGTAATAAGGATTTGCAGCCTATATGGTGTAGCCTGGGATTCTTTGTGGGCCAGATGCCAGCTTCTTTGAGAGAAACAATTTGTTAGACCCCGGCCTGGTGAGTTCTGACAGTGGTATACGCTTAGTCTTGTGCCATCGTTCTGTATCATGTAGCTTGCATGAGAACACAATATCAAGAATGATGTTGTAAAATATGTCCTTCATCCAACCATACAGATCTTGTTCAAGCCCTTGCTTTTGATCAGTTTGGCATTAGGCCTCAATGTAATACAAAAACTGGTGTTTGCTGAACATGTGTCCGTGCTCATTTTCAGAGCTAACTTGTGTTCAGCACTGTTGACTTTCACGTGGCAAAGCTTGACAAGGGTGTTCTTTGGTGGCTTTATTTCTTCTTTTTTTTTTCTTTCTTAAAGCTGACCCTGGTCAGTCTCAAAGGCTGTCTTCTGCAGGATTTAGAATTTAATCTGTGTTAATCAACTTTTTGAAGAGGAGATTAATAGGAAAGAAGGGTTTGTGGTGTTTTCAGAGTGCTTGTGTTTCCATATATCCACACCTGGAAGAAAACCAGTGTTACACTTAGGATGCTCCCTGTTACCCGAGGACAGAGAAGGTTTGGACATTGCTAAAAATCTCCAGTAGAGAAGAAGTAGTAATTGTGTAAAAATTCCTGATTCCGCTAGATGAAAAAAAAATATTTTGTAGTGATTGACATGAAGAAATATTTAATGTCTAGCTATTGCTGAAAACCAAGAAAAAAGTATATACTCTTAGACATGGTTTTATTTATTGGTCCCTTGTAGGTCTCAGTTTAAGCTATTTGAGTGCGTTATTTGGGAAATTGTACCTTAAACCTGTTTTGAAAGTGGCTGTGGAAATCTGCAGCTGTCTTATCGATGAGATTCTTGCAGAGAAAGTGCTTTCCATCAGCTCTCAGATGAGGTATCCAGAGTGAGATTGCTTATTTAAAAACACTTTTGTCCTTTTTTTGTTACAACTGATGTTCTGAAGGTCACGGTGCCCACCACAAGTTGCATCGCCAAGTTTTTCTGCAAGGAATTTTTAGGGGACAGTGAATTGATGAGAAGTTTTGTTTGTTTTTGAGATCAGCACTTAAAAACCTTTTGACTTTCAAAATTTGACTTTTAAAATCTCTTCTGGGGTGCCAGGTTTTGTTTAAAATTGATCTTTACGTTAATGTTATACTGTGCTTAAACTCTGAATACGGTTTAATCAATTTGAATAAATAAAGGCTTCTGGCCAGCTTCTGCATTGACATTGTTTTATAGTATCAGTATGTTGCTGACGGATTCAGTCAAAAGCGAGATTTAAGTGACTGAAAGACTGTAAAAATACCAATAGAATGAAATTGGTTTTCAAGGACAATGTCCTGTGACGGTATTCAGATTGGGTCTGGCTTACAGATTCAAAAATACTGTATGGCTAACTCATGATGGGGCATCCTTTATTGCTAACGTTTTTACCTTTAATGCAAAGCTCTGTAAAACTGTCCTTTGTGTGAGATAAATCGTTATGTGTCTGGCATGCAAAAGAAGCTAACTGACTCTAGAAGTACTTGTTTCATGGCTAGTTCATACCATGATAAACATAATTTAATCTCCTTGAAGGGAAGCTGGACATCCAAGTATTGTTTTCTGTAAGCTATTCTCAGCCTACGCACCAGCAGTCAACAGATGTTGTTCAGTTCATTTCAATTTGAGCATTGTGAATACCATTTGGCCCCAAGTTGGAGAAAAAGAAAAGCTCAAGCAGGGAAGCATTTTAAAAGAAAAGACAGGATAATTGTAATTTACTTACTGTTAAGCTCCACAATCCACAGCCTAATTGCTTTGCAGTTGCACTGGCTGTAACCCTTGAGAGGAACATAACCTCCTCAGTTGCAGAAGAGGGTAGGGATTGGAGAGAAGTAAAGCTTCAGTGGGTAATGTTGCTTAAAGTTTTTTGAGAGGGCAGTGTTTCTCATACCAAAAAACAAAATCCAAGCAGGCTACTGTGATAAATGATCACAGATTTTTGAGCAGTCTTAGCTGAATGAAATGAGTCATCAGCTGCTTGGTCAACATGTAGAGCTTGGTGATTTCAGGGGGATGTCTTAATGTGGGGAGTATAGAAAAGTTCTGTAATGGTGTTTGTCAAACAGGATATTACGGGTTTTATGATAGCAATGAAGAAAATAGGATACCCATCCAGATCCTTTCTTATGCTGTCACTTTCCCCTTTCCTTTATTTGAGACTTGAATGCTGGGGAGGTACATATACAGTGTGTGAAACATCTAATGGAAGTGAAAATTGAGATGGGCAGAGTTCTACTATTTATGGTATTAGTTCACAGATAAAAATTGCTTAGCAATGACAAACAAACAGAAATTAAGGTGTGGAGGTTTTCTTCAGTTGAAGGAACCTTTTGCTTAAGAAATGGTTATTCATATCCTAAACTAGCATATTGAAAAAAAAATATTCAAAGTTTTATTTGACGTTAACTTGAAGTACAACCCCCTGAATGGGTATTTTGAAAGCACCTATCATGCTGATCTTGAACTTTTCATACATGGGAATCCAAGTGCATTATGAGTGGAGGGGCATCTTGTTATTGCCTACAGATGCATAGACTTGAAGGAATGGAGGGAAAATGCACAAAACCACCCTGTGTAATGACAGTAAGCCTTTCTTCTGTGCCTTATGGAGTTGCTTCCCTTTTTCTCTCTCCTAGCTGCTTCAGAAGAGTCACTGATGTTAGTTGTCTGCTGGCATTTGATTTTTGGCTATGTCTGTGTCAGGGGTGACAGTATGAGGAATTTCTTGCATGATATGATCCTATATATGACCCCGTATATGTCACAGAAGCATGTAATTGTCATGACTATTTGTGCTATTTGATGTTAAGGTGAAGAAAAATGAAAATACACTATTTCTTTAGGAAATTATTGTCTTGTCACAGACAGCATGGTAAGTTGTGATAAGTAACTCAAAGGATATTTCATGGATTTTTTTTTTTCTTTTTAAACACATTGTCTCTTCATGTTCACTAAGTGTTGATTTTTACTTCATTTGTCGTGCTAGATTATCCATGGGCTTCTAAGGCCTGAATGTGAGACACTTTAAATGAAAGATCAGTCCTTTGGAAGGACCTATTTGCTCATCTAAGATCAAGGCTGAAGCAGTCTGTTATGTAGGAGTTGGTAGTGCTAACAGTTTTCGTGCTGCAGGCAGTTGACTAAGGTCCTCAGAAAGTAAGGAAAAAGTCTATCTGTTCTCATTGTGCAGCTGGGAGCTTTTGCTTGATGCATACCAGTCTGTACTAGCAAGCTGTCCTCATGTGATATCTCTGCCCAGTGATGTCTGAGGAGTCGAAGCAGGCAGGGCTGCTTACAGTGTGATCAAGTGACATCAACTGGGGCCATAAGACTATTCCACTCTTGGGCTGTCTTAGGACCTTTCTTGCTGTAACCTTTTTATGCTTCTCCCAAGCTGTAAGTCTCAGCTGATCATGCAGCTGTCTACTGGAGCTCAGCTTCAAGACAGCTTTCTTATTTCAGCTCTATTGGCTGTGACTGAGTAGAAATGAAATCTGCCGTATGTTATGGTACCAATTTCTTGTGCACTTTTTTAAGTTTTCCATCATTTTGTTTTGAATGAGTGGTACCGCTTCCTAATTCTACTTCTGTAGCATTGGCATTATTAACACCTAAGGAGACAGTTACAGGGCTTGGGAAAGAGAAATGGAAAACACCCCATCCTCTTCTTAGCTCTAAGTGAGATAAATCAAAACTTCTGAAGTCAGAAGACTAACTAAGAATCCATCTGCCTTTTTTCATTGCAGTATACATGAAGCTCAAGATCTGAACCTGCTATGACTGACCCAGACGTCCTCACTGAGGTCCCAGCAGCTCTCAAACGCCTTGCCAAATACGTGGTGCGTGGCTTTTATGGCATTGAACATGCCTTGGCTCTGGACATTCTCATCAGGAACCCCTGCGTGAAGGAAGAGGACATGTTAGAGCTCCTTAAGTTTGATAGGAAGCAGTTGCGGGCTGTCCTCAACACCCTCAAGGGTGATAAGTTCATCAAATGCAGGATGAGGGTAGAGACGGCTCCAGATGGCAAAACCACCCGTCATAACTACTACTTCATCAACTACCGCCTTCTGGTTAATGTGGTGAAGTACAAGCTGGACCACATGAGGAGGAGGATTGAGACAGATGAAAGAGACTCCACCAATCGCGCCTCTTTTAAATGCCCCATTTGCTTCAGCACTTTCACAGACTTGGAGGCCAACCAGCTGTTTGACCCCAGGACAGGTAAGAGTATAGGTAACAGAATGCTCCTGCATTCTCCTTTGTCTGTAAGTGTTGGACTCTAAGGCAACAGTCTTAAGAAAATTCTCTTGAGTTCGACCAGAGCTAGAGGGCACTCTCTTTCTGCAGGTGGTAAATGTTTGAGCAAAATACAGAAGTAATGTGTACAGACTTAAACAGTCTGTACAGGCAAATAGCAACGTTGGTAAAATCCTTGAGTGACAAGCAGTAGAGAAATGGAGGTCTTATCGCAGTTGAATTCAAGGGTGAATAAGGCAGTCTGTCCTTGTTGGAAGCTGATGCCTTGTCAGTATAACCTGGTCTTGCCTGTAAACCGTATGACTTACTGGTAGTTTGCAGGGAGGGCATATGTATAGTTGACTTTGGTATGTAAAAAATTTTTAGTTTAGAGATGGTCATGCAGGGAGTGAGTTGTTACTGTTTAATTTTCTTCTAGCCAGTTCATTGTACTGCACAACCTTGCTTCTCCAAGCAGTCTCATGAAAGTTAAAAGAAATTAATTACAGACTTGTCTGTGCTTGGGAGTAAACAAGATTCTTTTTCAAGTGTGTGTCTTGGTCTCAGTGGAGTTGCATATCTGTCTCGTGCATATGAAATAAGAATCTTTTCTGGGTGTCATTGTCTACAGGGGCAGTCCAAATACTTTGTGCTTCTGTGTCAGGGAAGAAAAGGAAGAACACCTGCACCTGATGAGATGCTATTTTCCTAGTCTAATCTGGGATTATTTTGAGGGGAAGACAAGGAGAAGGGATTAGGTGTTAGGCTTCCACCTTCTGAATTAGTTTCTTTACTTTTTACTTTTTGAATTCTTTGTCTTGATCTTACTTTTCTACAAAAATAAAAGAACAAAAGTCAGGAAAACTCTCAGAGACATTGGGAGTGTGGTGCTTTGTGTCAGTTATAATGAGAAACTAAAAATTCACTGTTCGGTGGTATTTAAGCTTTTAATCTAGGGTTACTGATTTCTAATCTGCTTTGGAGAAGGGCAAACACCCAACAAACATTCAGCATATCATTTTCCCTCTTTCCTGCCTCCAAAGATCAAGAGCTGTGAAACTCCTTTTACTTGAACAACCATAAAAATAATACTCAGTACTAGAGAAGCAGAATCCACTAAGTACAGGTAACAGTTGTTGCTGTAATCCATCACAGCTCTCTGAGTAGAAGTTGCTCCTTCATGGAGCACCAAAACCAGCATTGCCAGCACAGATTTTTCTGTACTCACCACTGAGTATAGAAACTACACATGCTTTCTACAGTAATGACCATCTGTGGCAGCTACAGTTGTGGGTGTCAGGCTGAAGGGGAATAGTGCTTTTGCAGTTTGCTTCGGTAGGGAGAGAGTAGAGAACCTCTGCAGAGACCATAGTGGGTGGGGAATGCGAGACACTTATCCCAAGGGGACCTGTAACACTTTGCAGGTGAATCCTCCTGACCTGTGTGGGTGGCGAGTTCCAAGAGCAAAGAACTGGCTCTCGAGGAGATGCAGAAGACAATAATGCTGGGATTCGGCTTTGACAGCAGGACCTGTGCTCCAGGAACTCATGAGGTCAACCAAGGGTTTGTCTGCAATACAGGCACTGGGTGCCTTCACAGTGCGAAATCATTCACTGGCACAGGGAGTATCTTGCAGTTTGGCTGATGGAAGGAAAGGTTGAGTGTTTTTTTCTCAGCAATTCCCAACAGTTGGTTCCCGTCGGTATTAATGGAAATAGCAAGATGGCCAGTTTACCTTCACTTATTTTCAATAAGAACATCCCTGTCTAGAATTTATGTATATTCTATTTCTCCTTATATAACTTTTAAATCAATGATAGCTTCACGTAGATAGTGCATGGTGATACTGTTGTTTCTCAAGAGCTTTTACATGGAATACCAGTTTGGATAGGGCTCTCCAGTTGCTGTTCAAGAAGGTCTCATACTGCCTCCAGACCATGAAATAGCTGCTTGTTTCCATTCTGGGTAAATAAGTGGGCAATTTTGTTGTGGGCTTTTTGTTGTTGTTTTTTTAGTGAAAATGGCTGCTTTATGTTAGTGGGCTGTGTTGTCTGCATATGTTTCCTGCTCCTCTGGAATTCCATATTAGAAAAGAACTGAGACACTGTTGGGTCTCTCACAGAGGGAGCTCATGAGGACAAGGCATGTAGAGGAACAAGGTTTAGTAGGTAGCAAATAGTCACCCTTTTCCAAGGATGTCTTTAGCCCTTATCAGCGCTATACATAAACCTCTCCCATTCATGAACACTTACGGCAGTACAACTGCTAAAGGGTAGCTGAAAGCCACATGGATTTCAGTCACGGTTGACCTGAGCTGCTCCTGGGCTGCAGCCGTGTTGATAAAATTTTGTGAATTAAAAGGCCTGCAGGGCCAATGTCTGTTAGCCCCTGGAGCAGGTAGAGCACGGAAGGCATCCTCTGCATTAGTCTAGACCAGGCTGCACTTAAATGGGCAATCCATTGTTAAAAGACATCCTGTTTCACTGTCTGCTTTTTGTCCTTGTCACTCAGAAATGGGAATGAATTAGATGTCCTGTGTTTTCTTCTGCTTTGATTTCCTCTTCCCTAGTTACAACTCAAATGCAAACCTCAGCAATTGTAGTAGAATGAAAGGGTTAGAAGAGGAGGTTATCGCTCTTGCCCTTCCTTATCAGTGATGGTGAGGAGATTTCCAGAATCTCTCCATGACTGTAGTCATTCTACTGCAATTTGTGAATTAAGAATGCTTGTGAAGAGCGTGTCCATAAGTTGGATCTGTAGTGCTCTTTAATTTTTACCACAGCATCTGTGTCTGTCTCTCGGCTTTAGCAGAGGTCTGTTTCTTGTAGGTTACCGGCTGTCAAATGGAGGCTTTTTTAGCTCTGTGCTTTACTCCATTTGAAAATAATTTTGAAATAAACAGAGGTGGTTGGGGTTTTTTTTATCAGAAGATGTGTTTATTGGTGTTTTTGGAAGGTGGAAATGTGTGTGCTGAGAGAAAATGATTGATAGTAAGATGGGTATGTTTTCAGGGCACATAGATATGGATGTGCTTTGGTTGCTGTTCATCTAATTAATTTGGAAAAATATTTTTGAACAGAGTAGCAAGTTTGCCACTAAGGTAATCTTAAATGTAGATTTTAAATGGTATAAATGTTACTTTGAGAGTGTGATCTCTCTGTTTTTAAAAGTATTATATGATTTTTCCTCATCCCTTTTTTCTGCCATTAAACATCTTGGCCCAAAAAAGCCCTAAAAACTTACTATGCTGTCAAAGGTTGAACAAGTATTGTCTGATACTTGCAGGAAGTTCAAGGACTGGAATTGTGTAATGTTAAAGAAACTGTCAGATGGCGAAAGTCGTGGTGACAAAAAAACCTAGAGTTTTGCTGCTGCTTCAACTCACAAAGGGATATCTGAAAAGTGAAAAGAAATGAAAGATGTGTTGGAGGAGTCACTTGGTTGTATGACCAGTGAGTGCCTGCTAGCTCTAAGCATGGCGTGGCCAGGTCATGAGTTTTAGCTCCATCTGTCCTAAATGAACAGATCTCCAGATATCATGCTTTCTCTTCAGTGGCCGTTTTTACTGTTGCCTCCAAAGAAGCAGTATCAGTAACTTCTGCTCTTAGAGGCAAACAGCTTGGACACACTGTGCTTTTATTTTGCAGAAGTTTGCTGTGGAAACTTGTAGCAAAGCTAAGAAGAACTTTGTGATTCAACAGGTCGCAGATTTGCGGTTTGCCTGTTGACCTGGCAGTGCCTTTGACAGGAATTGATGCAGGCTGGGTTGTTACAGGCTGAGTGGGTAGTTTTTACCCACTTTTGTGAGTGTTTTGAGATTTATAGAAAGAAAAACACTGTATGAATAAAGTGTGTTACTTCTAGCCTTGTATTTCAGTTGGGCTGAGAAAGGAAAAAGATTGTCGTTTTCCTAGAAGATCCTAATATAAGCACTTGAAATACAGATCATTGCCTTTCACTTGTGGCATCATCTGCTGTCTACCTGTGCTCTGATATTTCATCACTCTTTGTTCTGCATGCTAGCAATTGCATGCAGCTGCCGTTGTGATGAAGCCTCATGCAGGAGGAAAGCTGCAGCCATTCTCTTAAACAAGGTAAGGGCTATCTCTTGAGGCAGGGAGGTACAAGGAAGAGTTTAATTGAGTAGCAGTAAGACAAGCCACATGTTAAATGCATACTGTGAATAACACTGCTGAACACTGTCTATTCCCAGACCTGGGCTGACAGTGGACGCTGACATAAGGTACACTGGGTTTTCAAGTGTTTCACCTAGAGATAGGATGTTACTTCATCAGGCTCTTACAGAGTCTTATGGGAAGAATTTTCTTCTCTGTGCTTTTAAATGCAGAAACTACAGAAATTTGGTTTCTGTAGGCCAATTCCTGAAATTGCAGAGTAATCTAAACAACTCCATACCATCTTGTGGATTGGATTTAAAAAAAAAAAAATCTTGGAGAATTAAATATGCACAAGTCTATTCTGTGGAGTGTGGGGGGAAGGACAGGAGGAGCTGCATTGTCTCACCCAGTAGAGGGAGCTGTCTTCTTGTCTCTATACGTATGGGCTTGGGTTGATTAATTTATTGAATGTCACAAAACTGGAAATTATGTTCATAGATATGTGTTCTGTAGCATGATTAACTGGGTCTGGTTGGTGAAGATCTCCCTGATGTATCCTGTTCTCATACCCTAATCATATTTGTAAATCTAGTGTGGTGTTGAAGTTGACTGTCAAATTCAAGGTCAATTTGAAAGAAAGTATGCGACTAGAAACTGCAAAAGGGAGAGTGGGGTTGAAGTGAAGGAGTAACAGAAATGAGATCCCGCAGCGCATCACACTGTTACTCAGCCCCGGATTTCCTTAGGTGTTCTAAATACCAAACTGTATCAGAATACTCACCAGTGCAGCAGGTGAATTTCATGTTTCAAGAATATATAAGGCTAAGTGAAGTAGGCTTTTCTCTGTTCTCTTCTACCTTTGCAGTA